TGTTCCTCGTCGCCACGAATATTGGCAAAGAGAATTTACATGAGAAAGAGAGGGGCAGATTTGCTCGTGAAATTAAACGAGTAGTGTTGAAATATTGTAAAATTGAGAATATAATTTGCAGATTTTGACAAATCGAAACTTTTAATTTCGGAATTTTGAAAAATCAATTTGAATAGTGGATAAATGTTTTTTACTATTTTATATAAAAAATAGAATCATTGTGTTTTATAAATAAATATAATACCATTTCGCAGTAAAAAGAATTCTGCGAAATCTCATAGCCCCCCTCTCATTATTCATTTTAACAACGTCCAATTGATTATTAAATCAAATTAAAATATAAAAAAATATCAATTGTAATTTAAATTTCTTCAAGAGAGTTAAAGAAGTTAATTAAAATTAACTCCCCTACTGTTAAATAAATCTGAGAATAAAAAGAGAGGGGGGAAAAAAATCAATAAGAATAATACAAATAACGCCCTTCGTGGGAAACTTTCCCCATGCCATTTATAACGCTGCTCGAAGATAAGTTATAAATTTCTGGAACGGGCAATAAAGTCGGTCTAGGTCGGCGCAAGTTAATGCAACAGAATCAAAGCCATCCTTCGACGTTCGATATCGCTCGAGTTAATTAACGTTACACCGCCTCCATTCCAGTAAATTGTCGTTTATCGGATGTGGAGCTCTCCTCTCGAAATCTTAAAATCGTTAGCCTTATTCCTCGTAATTATCGATTATAAATTATTATAATTTGCAAAGTTTGCACAAAAGTTGGATAGATATTAAATTAAAAAAAGAAAAAAAAAGAAAAAGATAAAAAGTTTCGAAATTTCTTAATTTAAAATATATATTTGTGAAATATTAATTTCAAAAATAAAAATTCCAAGCTCGAAAAAAATTTTGTCAAAATCTGATCAACGTGAATATATTTCTCCATTTCTTTTTCGAAATAAAGTCGAATGAGATAGGTCTCTGAAAATATAATAAATTTATGGCGATCCATAGTCTCTGACGTAGCAATTCCTCCCTGAATCCTATATATCCAATCTTCGATCCTCTCGGTATATCTACGCTGTCAGGATCGAATATCTCTCTTGGCAGCACGGATTTCATAGATAGAACACAAGGGTCCTTTTCTTCTCTCCTCCAACAACGACCTTCGCCCTTTCCCCTTTTCTTCTTCCACTCTTCCATCGATTGACCTTGCATACATTATATCGACGTATCCAAGATCTTATTATTTATAGCCCCCCCTCCCCTCCATTATTCATTTTAACAATTGATTATTAAATAAAATTAACTTATGAAAACTTCAATTGTAATTTACGTTTCTTCAATTTCCATATTCTTGCATATTATATCTTTTGATTCATTATAAATATTCCACTATTCTTACTATTTTTAAAGAAGTAAAAGTTAAATCATCGGTAGACTGAACGAATGATTTCCATTGTGCGTCACAATTCGAATAGCGATTCATCGAAAACAATAGCTTTGATCGCGGGCCAATTATATCCGCAACACTGTGAATACACTTAATATATACACCGACCCATTTCGGCTCGCCATTCATCACCTTCAACCTCGACTTTGAGGAATTCGTTGTTTTAAAATTAAGCATATAAATAAAAGCAATCCTATAATATATTAAAGTACAGTTATTTGTCAATTGTATAATTAATAATTAAAAATCGAGAGAGAGAAATTTCCATACCCATGATTCCGCGTTGAATCGATGTAACCAAGTGACGTAATTACAATTTGCACAGGAGGCGTATTTGCACCGTAGATGTCAGGACAGGATACGTGGCTACCTTTACAAAACGATCGATCAGATCAAATCGTCCGACGTGTTCTCGAAAGATCCACGGGCCAGGAAGCAGCTACTGTACGCGATAGCGTTCTTCAAGATGCAATTGAAGGAGGACCATTACTTTGGCTACTACTTCGACAGGAGTCGAGCGAAGATAGGATCGTTGGAGGGTAGGGATGAGCGCGACTCATCGACGAGCTGTTACGATCATTGCCCGTGCAGGCTGAAATGGCTGGACGAGAGCACGTATTTCCGGTTGTTCGGCACGATCGGGCAACCTTGCGACGACGTTGACGCTGTGAGGAGGAGGAACGAAAGGAATTCTGGCGCGAAGAGCGAAGAGGAGGAGGCGGAGGAGACTTGCCCTTACAAGATCAGGAGGACAGAGGGGGACACGTGTGTAGCTTTGTGCGACCAGATGGGCGAGTTTAAGTGTTACGGCGTGTGGAACGAGGAGAAGTGCCTTTACGGGGACAGGCACAAGATCAATCCTTATAGGTCGAGGGAGGAGCTTATTTTGTTCTCTACGTGGAATTTTGATCATAAGTAATTAATAGCGTTACAGTTTATAATTGATATTATTAGAATTATATTTATCAATCTTTTTGACGTTATAAAGTTATCGTTAGATTTATTTTGGATCCTTTTAAATTATCTATCCTTTGAAAATATTTTAATATTTCTCGAAAAATGAAAAAGGTTGGACAATTTCTGATTTATCGACAGATGGTATGATACAAATTTCATAGCGAAGATATAATTGCACTTATTTAGTTGCACTTTTAGAGTTAATTATAAATATCGAATTGAAATTTAAAATATTTATTTTTGGATTAGCAGTTATAATATTCATCGTATATGATTTTTAGGATTGAGAGGTCCAGGACATTAATCCCGCTGCTTCTGAAACTGGCGACACAAGGTACAGCCAACGAGATGGATTTATTCGAAATCTACGACAATCTATTTACGGTGAAGAACCTGAGGCTGGTTCACATCGTATGCCATGATAAAGGCTCGCACAAATAATTAGTAATTATCACTAATGGAAGAGTTAATTATAATTATATTACGATATTCCAATATGCGGGAAATCACTATCATAAAACTACGTAATAATAATACGTAGAACAATCTCTGAACGTAAATGTAACTCTTCGTGTGAAATATTTACTTATAAAACTGCTGTTGATAGTTGAAGAAATTAAAAAATTTATCACGTATTCAATAGTGATTCCGTTGCGCCACAAAGTAACAAGCAATATACCGATCGAACTTTCTTTTTTCTATGATAGATTAAGTCGAAGTTTCCTACATTGCCACCATTTTCTATTATCCACCGTGAAACCGTGCACGATAGAATCAGTTCGATTAAAAAAAAGAAAAAGTTTAAAAATCGCATTTGCGATCACAGATGTTCATATTATTGTGAATTGAAATTGAAAACCAGAGTTTGCCTGTACTTGAACTTGTCCATTTCTACTTTACAAGGGAGAAATATAACTTGCTTAGTCGATAAAAATCGTAATTATATGCACGGTCGATAATACAGATGAGTCCTCAAGAGATAAGTTAAAATACTACTACTATCGACGCGAAAACTTTTTTAACACGTTTTTAATACATCTTTATGCATCTTAACGACTGTTACAACTTTCTATCGAATAAGTGTAATAACGAAATGACGTTTTTCCTTCTTCAGCACAAATCTAAGCTTCCTTTTCAGGAAGATTTACGATTTACGATTTGTATACAGGGTTGGGCGCAACGGAATAATCGAGATTAAAAAACAATATTTTCCAATCTATAGATCACAATCCCTAAAGAGATCGAAGAGTCTCTAATTTTTATTTGATTATTTATACAACAAATTTTATTATGAAAATTTTCAATATTATTTATCTCGATATATCTATATGAAAAGATTCATCATGTATTAAATATTGCAAATTTGCTATGGCAGGGATTAATATATTATTAATATTCTCACTTATTGATATTCATCGTTAAAAAAAAGTATTATAATTATTTTATCCTAAAATAAATGTATTTTATTTTATATAATTATAAAAAAAAAAGGGTTGTGATTTTAAAAACATTGGAAAATACTGATCTAAAGGACTGTTCATTATTTTATTGAAATTGCAAGAAAGATATGGTCAGATGACCCAACCTTAGTGATTAGAGTTTATCTTTAAAGAATATTATTACTTGATCAAATATCTTTCGAGTATTTTTGATTCGACTGGTTAACCGAAGACAAAACCAAAGTTCTGATATATACATATACATATAAATATACTATATAAATATATACATGTACGTATTCGTTATTGAATTTAGAGAATACACATATGTTTATATGTATTATGGACGCGTGTACAGGATGACGGAATAAATATTCCATAAAACATTGAATAATAAACGTGTAAAATTGATGCAGTAAAAACAAATAGTTTTATTTGCAATAAATAGGTTTGTTTGAGAAAATAATTAAATGTTAATACGTATAATATAATATAATTATATAAATTTATTTGTTACGTGCAGAATTTATTAAGAAAAAGATAAATTATTATGTGTCAAGAAAAAGAGATTAAAGCATAATGATTTATGCAATTTAACAACTAATTTTAACGAATAATATTTTTATTATTTTAAGCTTCATAAATTCTATGGAAATATTAATGTATGTATTTATATCATCAGTGTTTTTTTTTTTTTTTTTCAATAACCTAAATGTAATCCGACAATATGATATTCGACTCATCCTGCGCACGTGTGCATGTAATATATGTATACATATACAGGATATTCGGCTACAGGTATCCAAAAATTGAAAAAATTATTCTACAAGTCAAAACAATACAAAAATAATTTTGTTGCAAATAAAATTGCAAACAAGATATTAATTTTTCATGTGGAAAACGTCAAAAGAAATTAAAAATTTTATCATCAAAATCTACTCAGAAAATAAAAAAAACCTCGCCATTAAAACTACTTTTTGTTTCATTCCGATATCTCAATTGATTGCCAAGATATAAGAAATCAAACTATTCATGATGCTTTAGATGAAATTACTATGATCTAGTGACATCTATATTTTTCTATGTATAAATATGTACATAAATCTAGAAATTGCATCTCTTTGTTTCGTATTTGTTCAGTGAAGACATGCGAGCGAGAGTTATACGAATAAGCGAGAGAGACAGAAAATAGCAAACAATTAAAAAATTACTTTTTCTTTACACGATGATATCTCGAATACCGCAAGTCATATCGGGATAAATAAAAATGCTTTTTAAAGAATAAAATTCCGTGCTTCTAATGACCTTTTATTTATTCATCGGAAATCATTATTTTCGAAGTTACAGCGGTTTAAAATTCTTCTAGTTTTAATAGAATTTAACAGAGCTTCTAAGATATATTGGAATATCTCTGCGAGGAGAATCAAGCGAGAGTTTCGAATGTACGACAAGGATGGAGATAGTGAATGATCAAAAAATACGCTTTCCTTTACATGATGATATCTCGGCAACCAAAAGCTGTATCGGAATAAATGAAATTGCGTTTTAAAGGGCAAGATTCTGTGCTTTTAACGACCTTCAATTGACTTGGCGAAATTCACTATTTTCAGAATTATAGTGTTTTAAAATTTTTTTAATTTTAATAAGAAATTTGTTGCTTCAATTACTGTATATTCTTTTGTGTAAGAATATTTTCATCGATTTTTAATTCTCAATAATTACAGAACAAAGTAGAAAATATAATTTTTTTTTTTACTTTTAATCTTCTCAATCTTTATTTTAATTTGAAGAATCATTCTTCCAATTTTTAAACACCTTTAGCTGAACATCCAGTATATAAAAACCTCTATATATATATATATATATATATATATATATACATATATACAAATATATACACAAAGAAAATTATTAAAATGTTTTAGAGACTTGTGCGATATATCTGAAGCTGTGCTTCTTCCTGTGCATGGAGAAAATCTACACGGGAGGACTCGATTCGAATATTCATGTCTTTTTGACAAATTCTTCTTTTGATATGATTTCGATTGGTCCGTGTTCGTTTCGTCGCGACTCGTCTCGCTCGAGATTTGTCGCCACGAGACGAATCATCGCCGGTCTGACACATTTTTTATAAAATCCTATTATCGACGATGATGACGAAGACGACAAATAACGAGAGAGAGAAAGAGAAAGAGAGTATCGAGTATAGTTGGCGATTTAGTAGATTAACTTTACATACGTTCAATGATGTGTCTCTATTCTTTGTTTAAGATGTTTATATACTTAATTTGATACGATCTTGACGAGTCATTAAGTACGAGTCTTTCTTATGTTTGAGCTATTGAACAGAGTGCATCGAGGATCATTGTACTTTGAATCTGTATGTAAAATATCGAAGTGTGGATATTCAATTATTTCTTTTTGAATATTTTATCATCATTATTTAAAATTTTAGAAACATATGTGACAAATGTATATTCACTGTAAAGAATTTGATCAGTAGTACAGCAGATTTAGGATATATTGCAATTATATAATATTTAACAGAGTAATAATAAGCTAATGGGTATTTTACTTTATTTCAGATTGATAATTTTACATTATATCATATATTTTTATTCGATAAAGCTATGCTTCTAAGAATTTGTATATATTGATACTTATGTATTTTTTATTATTGTGTTTTAACATATTTATTTTTGCTATAGATATCTTCATTTTGTTAACCTTATATATTTCTTGATATGAATGATAGTATAGAGGAAAAATCAGATTTTATTGTATTATTGAATGATATATAATGATAATGGTATAATATGCAAATAAGAAACAAATGAATATCCATTGTAGAAAATCTGCACATCAGTCATATAATATCATTACGATTTAACAAATTTATTTCAAATGACACGATGTATTATTCTATTTAACAGAGATGAAAAAGTTTACTGTTCCATCTTCTAAACTTCTTCTTATGGTTTCAATAATTGGCATGCTAAAAATTAGAAGTCTATTATTGGCCCATTTTTGAAAGTTAGAGTTAAAAGCGAAGATTATCCTCGATCGATAAAGAAATAATTTTTCGTATCGTCTGTCAATACATGCTTCTTGCATAATTCCTACTTTATCATCAGAGGAATTCGAACAGCAATGTATCATCGGTAAAGCGTGATAACTGAACTTGTCATTTATCAATTTTCTGATTTTTTGGCTTAAAGTTTCTTTGATTGAGTATATTCTTTATTGAGAATTGGTCAAATTTAATAATCCATTTGTATTCTTAGCTATTTTAAATCTAAACATTGTTATCTGTTGTATAAATTATTATGGAATATTATCATGATAAGATAACACGGTTGAACGAGTGATTACCATCTATGGTGATATATAGAAAGACAAGAAAGAAAGAGAGAAACGAATATTTTTTTGTGAAAAAGATCATGTCCAGAATAAGTCGACATTGTTATATTACAATTGAAGCTATTCGCGACACAATGGAGAGAAACTGCACGAAAGTGCGATATTTCCTCGTAGGCAACATATGTAAGCATAGTTATTTTTCAATGTAAAAGCGACTGTGTAGCTCTACTTTAGGCAAATGTATATTTTAGGTACGAGAGAACAAAAAGAAAAAGAGAGAAAAGAAGGAGAAGAGATAAACAATAAATAAAAGTCTATCGTTTTTTTTCTCCCCATTTCTAATTTAATCCTTCTCGCGTATTGTAAATATTGCCCGCAAGAATTAATTGCATTCGATTAATTATCGCGTTGAAACGAGATCGTTGAACTCGTTCGTAAGTTTCGGGCATTAACTTTTACGACGTCGAAGATTTCGATGGAGTAAAATTAGAATTTGAACTCGTGACTTCCTGTCGCGATCGATCGAGCGATTAGTCGAAAATATTTAAATACAAAGTTACGATAATATTTTCCAAATTTGATTCGAATTCAAAATTCTTTTCGATAATTATTTTTTTACCGATTAATAATGATATGAACTATTAATTTTAATATCCATGGATGTTTATGTAGACAGATAATTTCTAAGATGAATCAGTTAAAGAATCAGTACGATAATTAATCAAATACTATTCTATATATATAGAAAACAAGGCAGTTGATTCAATTACACAATTTTGCATTTTTTTTTCTCTCTTTAGACTATAAATTTATATAGCTTGAATTTCGTTAACATCTCGTTGCAATTTGATTAGTTTGTAAAGGTATGTAATCAATTATAGAAAGATTGGTTAATTACGAGCGCAATTAAAAGGCTTCTAAAGTTCTTTCTCTTCCTTTTCATCTTCATCTTCATTGCCATTATTCTTCTACCTTATTGCCATTGGCCGC